TAGTGCTTTTTGTCTTCTAGCACTTGGTTATATTTCTTTAGACAGATGTTAAATGCAGTGCTGCAAAACCAAAAGGTAACATATGCCAAATATGTGGCAGGAAAACAGCAGGAAATAAAGCCCTTCAACTCTTTTTGAGACAATCAGTTATCAAGAACAGCGCATCAAAAAGAGCTTTCAGATAAATTAATCTTTAAAAAGAGTGGGAAAAGTGCATAGGTGATTGGAAAAATAAAGAAAAAGGAAAAATAAAAGCTTGAGCTTTCCAGAAAAAGAATTTTAAAAAGTTTAAACATCTAAAATTTTGTCATGTTGTACTAAACTAGTTACCTAGATAGTCAATACAGAAAAGCAACTCCTGAGAAGTGTCTAAAATACACGAAGGTAAGTAGACCTGCAAGTACCTAATGCTCTTGTAAAGTGAACTGTAAGGGCAAGCTTTAAAGAAAGATATATTTTGGAGAAAATAATTACATACTAATGCAATAGAAAGAGATAATAGATGCTTGAATCCTGATAGAGACCTGAACCCTAAGCATTAAATAAAGGTCATTGTCAACTTAAATTTTCCCCATTACAAGACTGCTCTGCTGTCACGAATGAAGCAGAGTAAGTTAAAAAGCTTCAAAATGCCAATTACCAGAAGTGTTCATAACAGGAAAAAACAGCTATTCTTGAAGAAAAAAAAAACAGTTAAATACTGAGCGTTGAACCAAAGTCAAAAATAGTCTTATTCTGTGATGTATACTTACAGATGAGGCAAGTTGCAGTGAAATATTATGTAGCCATATGGATGACTTTTAGTGAAATGCTCCTCTGTGTAAAGGGAAGAAGTCACCTGTGTGAGTCGGCCAAAGGGCAGTTCTGAGGATTTATCTGGGTACAGTTCTTCCACCTTCACTTTGCATGTCACAGCTAATAACAGTTTATCAAATAAACAATATGTGATAAAAATAAGACTTTAAAGTACAGGAGGTGAAAACAGTGGTTAGATTGACCCTTGAAATGTGAATATTTGATCAAGTCATCAAATCTGAAATCTTGTTAGATATTGATATTGATTGTAAATCAAACTGTGTTAAATCTTATTTTAAAAAAGCCATTTCTAATAATCTCATCTGATCAGATCATTTCATCCCAATGGAAACTGATGCAGGTAACTAAAGGCAGTTTGAACACTGACAAATTTATGTTCAATTTTGTAACATGACAAAAGCTGTAACAACTTGTAGCTCCTTCAGAAATTAGGAGTGAGGAAGGACTAAGAAGGGATGTTTCCTGTCCTAACATACATTTTAGCCCATACTGATGTTATATTTCTCACCAGCTCATTTTTCTCTTGTCTTCTAGGGGAACAGGGTCTTAGATAAGACACAATTTTTAGATTGCTAACATAAGCCTTAGATAGCTAACATAACACCTTAGGCCAAGTCCTCTAAAAGAAGCAAGATGTATAGAACTTTATTGTGAGGTGAAATTCTTTTTGCAGAATTGAAAATTCTGTCCCATATTTCCACCTTTTCCAACTTCTCTACCAAGTGATTTTCACCACTTTTAAGTTTTCAAAGGTCTGTCTTCTATCAGGCTTAGTCCATTAGTATGAAGACACCATATAATTCAGCCTTTCCTTATGAAAGTGTTGTTCTTTTAAATAGCCTAGTTTTAGACACCAAAAGATAGTTTCATCAAATGACCTTGCAAAACTAAGCAAGCATCTTTATCCCAGTCTCATTCTGTGGAAATCATTCTTCAAATATGGTATCTCTAAAACCATTTCTAAGCCTGGTTTTAAATACAATTTCTGGCCATCAGTAATATCTGGCTTTACTCATGCCATATTTTTACTCATTTCAAAGTGTTTCTCACATGTTGTGCATTCACATAGAACGCCAACAGACACTATTAACATATTGTTGTGACCTATGCAATGTTTTATATTTTGTTTTTTAAGCTAAAAGTAATAAAAACAGAGACCCAAATAGCTCTCATTAGTCCTTCTTTATTTTTCAATAAGTAATTAAATAACTATTCAGCTTTCTGGAGGAGAGATGGATGTCCCAAAAAGTAGTAATAGATGTAGAGATCTCAATGGGGTTTTGGGGGTTATTTAAAATGAAAAATTAACAATTACCCTAATGAATGTAGATGTTTTAAAGTGAAAAAAAGTAAGATTTTTAAGCTTGCAATCACTCAACTTTCTTTTTGTGTAAAATTAATATCCAGATTTGTTCACCTCTTTCTTTTAAAAAATGCTTTCATCACTGTGTGCTAAGAATAGCTCCTCCTGATCTGTTTTCATCCCTCCTCATTGAAAACTGTCATAATTACCTTCAAATACAGGCTCTGATGAAAAACACCTTACCAAGAAACAATTCCTATTAAAATATACTACAAAACTAATTGAATTCACTCTTTAGGAAGGACAAAGAGGGTAATTTTAAAGCTCATCTCAAAGACACACTACTCTGTAAATAAGAAAATGTTTTCTTCTGATAACTCAAGACTATCACCACAACTACCCTTCTAAAATACTGCTCTAATTCTATTAATGTGTTTCCTGGTCTGCAGTTATGAAGTGTTGTTATACACTAAATGGATGTAAGTTAGAATATTTTTTCAGGCTGTACTAAGTTATGCTATGTTAGTGACAACTGATAGCCATGTGTTACTTAAATAGACCAGATCAGCATCTCTTTTTTTTGGTATGTACGTATTACATATATAAAAATACTTTTGCCATCTGAAAATCGTCCATCATTTACTCTTTCACAGATGGAAATTGACCTCATTCCAAACCAAACGTCCTAAGTTGAAGCCTTGTCAAGGACTCTTTAGAAGCTACAGACTTCCTGGAGAACACTCCTTTCTTTGAAATCTTCACTGATGCTCCCTTCCCATATCATTTGCTCTCCATGCTTTATGCCCTTCCAAGGGTTACCTATACGCAAAATCAGTTTACATCCCCCTGCTTCCTTTTTACCTAATCTTCCAAGAACCTCCTCAATGTTGTGATTCCCCATTTAGCCGACCATCTGACCTCTAACCATGCTCTTGGCTTGGCCCTCTGGGTTGTAGCACCTGAGTTTTCTACCACACCCTGGCCTGCTTTTAATTGCAGCCCCACCCTTTGCCTGTAAATTATTCCTTTCCTTCTCTGTGGTTTAGACATTAGTTCAGACATCAGTTCTTATGGCTAACATTGTCTTCAAAGCAAACTCAGTACAGATTTAACCACTCAAAATGACCTGAAGGTCATAACTGAATATCACTTTCCTTTCAAAAAAAATAGAATCCCTTTAATACTCTTGTGTAATATGAACAAGCATTGCACCCTTCCATTTGTAGCCCTAAAGTTATTATTGAAAAATACGGATATAGTTAAAAAAGAGACCAATCTTTATGCAAAAGAAACAAATTATGGACAGTAGTAAAAAATGTTGCAAATTTGTTTTACTTAGTTGGAAAAAATAAACATCAGATATGGTCATTTGTAAACTAATTTTCAGAGTTTCAACTGGTTCACTGGTTTTAGTGACATGAGAGAAATAATACCTGTCACAAAACAAAATACCAAATGGTCAGTTAAGGGTCAGTTTACATCTTCTCACATATTAACACACTGACAATAGAATTAAGGGCTTCAGTAACTGAGAATCAGAAGTATAAACTAATCCTAAAAGGATGAACACTTACATCCTGTTTACAGCTACTTACTCAGCTCAGAAGTGCTTTCCAATCTTGCTATTGCATACTCAAATAGGTGAAATAAATTACATGTTATCTCCTACCACCTCATCTAAACCCATGAAAATGCAATAAATTAATATGTTATCACTGAGAGCTGTTTACATGAGATATTCTTTGTATTGGCAGCTGATTCAGAGGAAAGAAAGATTTGTTAATTGCTAACCACTTATTAGAATAAAATTAAATGTGTTTCACAAACGCATTCTCCTTTTTTCTGTATGTTAGAAACAAAAACGTAAAACACTGAGTTGTTTTCCAGATCACAAACTGCAGCTTGGTAACTGATTTAATGTACTTTAATAGCTGGTTCCTAGCTAACCCTTTTATCATACAAAGTGTCAGCTTAGAAATGGCTGCTTGTTTAAAGCTAGTGATTCTTGTCAGACTTAAATAGAGTCTTTTCCTATTTAGGCACATATTTCAATTAATAACTCCCATTTCCAAGAGTTATAAATGGAATATGCTCGTTTTTTTTTTTTTTTTTTTCTTTTTTTTCTTTCACATTAGTACAGATTTTAGACTGTAAGTGTTCTCTTTGAATTGGCTTTCTGTGTAAACTGCGTTGACATTCAGTGCAGAAAATCTGCAGTTACTGCAATTGGCCACAACTTTCTTGGAATGAAAAGGAACTAATCAATCAGAAAACACATTCTCATATCCATGATAAATAAAGCTGTCTGCATACATTCAAAGTGGATATGCTCCACCTGTTTGTTCAATGAGATGCCCTAGATTTAAGTGGCAATTAAAACTCACAACTCTTGCCTGAATATCAGCTGCCAGGAAATGTCTCACCCAGGTGAAAATTTTGCTTAATGAACAAAGGAAAAAGTGTTCTATGAGTACTTAACACATGGTTACTTTGCACTGAATGCTTTATATTTCCCTTTTTATGGGAACAAACCATTCAATTTTATGATTTTCTTCACTTATGAAGCACTCATAAATATGAACTTGATCCTGGAAGATGCTGAGCAACTGGCCTAGGTCCAGAAAAGCACTTCAGCATATCTTTAAGTATGAAACTAATCTTAGGGTTTAACTGACAGTTATCCCAGAGGCCTGTGTGCTTTCGTGAATCAGTAAGACTGGGCAGAAAGGATAAGGCTTTGGAAAACAAAATTTCTGTCTGTTCATGGTAGGTACTGCTTGCAGTTCAGTGCAAGTTTAATGGAAGCCTGGACCTTTCCATAACCTGTCAGACCACTCCTTTGCCTTAATGATATTCTTTTTTTTTTTTTTTTATCCTTCAGCAGTGTAACCCTGGCCTTATTACTAGCTGTGATCTGGTAAGTGTTTTCAGGTACGACAGCAAATGATGTGATTCCAGGTGTTTCCTGTAATAATTGGGGAATATGTCAGAGCATAGTGATTGTATGGTGACGAATATACCAGAAGTGATCATGGTTCTGATTTCCTGTGGGTTTAATCATAGTTCATATCCCACTGCAAAACTATGGTAGTTACATAGTCCTTATCACATAGCAAGGAATCCTTGCAGACAACTTTGTCTAGGTTAATAGTTCTACTCTTTAACAAACAGTTTGATGAGAATACATAGGTGCATAACTGAGCACAAGCTTAAGGATGCCCATCCACCGAAGGATCAATACACCTTTTTGCTAACACAGGATTCGATTCATGTGATCCACAGTACATCAAAGTTAATGGCTTTGGCAGGTTTCAATCAGGCACAAGAATATGAGAATTATTTCACTGGCTGAGACCGAGAGTTAATCTAACCCAACATTACTTCTCCAGCAGTGAACCTAACCAGAGGTCTAAGGAAGACTAGGACCAGGGCAAGCTTATATAAATATGCACCTGCAATATCCTGTGAAAGGATCCTCAGCCCAAACATGACAGGTATTTAGCAACCCTTTCAAACTTTCCCACAGTTTCACTGAGCCCTTCTAAATTTCTTAAATCCAGAACATACGTTAGCAAAAATCTGTCAGAAGAAAAGACATATTTTTCTGTTTTTAACCTGGCTCTCACTGACTACCAGTTTTATGAGTCTCCCTAAGTCTTTCAAGTGTGATCTTTGTAGAGTTGTGAAGATTTTATCTCTATCTACCCTCTTCATGCCAAAAATCTCAGTATCTTGAAGATTTCTTTCATAATCTCCCTATGTTCTCTTTTTCCAGGCTGCTCATATGGCTTTTGATCACCCTGTTCTCACTGCAATCCACTCTTTTTCTTTTGGAGAAGGACGGAATAAGACTTTCCACGGTGAGTGTTTTAGTTGACTAGTTTCCTAAAGAGCTTGTTCATTTGAATTACCACATTTTGCCCTAACTAGTATGTGATAATTAATTTTTAGTGACTGATAATATCAAAGCTTTACATAAAGCCTATCTGTCCTAATCCTCCATCTTCCTTCATCTAGTCACTTTCATAAAACTATTGCATTAATTGCACTGTATAATAACTAATCCACTTCATACAAACTGAAAAAGATTTTCCTAAGAGTTGAGTCAGAGCCATAACAGAAACAAAGGTTTCCTTTTCTTTTCATATTCATTACTTTAAAAAATTGGTTTGAAAAAGGGAAGATGAGAACAAAAATATAAATAGGACTATTCCTCTCAGGAACCCAAATACAAGCAAGAATTATTACAAGATGGAAAGGAGATGACTGTTTTAGTTCGAATTTCAAGCAAGATCTGTTAATACATCACTCAGAGTTCTAGCCCACGAGCCTAAATTCAAATCTTTTCAGATCAAACTAGCACTGTGACCATTTTTGTCAAAAAGCAAAAGAATGTCTCTAGTCCATTCATAAATCATTTTTCCTGGGGGGAGATAAATCTTTCCCCTAAAACCAGATATTTAGTGAACTGTTTCTATTATGTTAGTATAAAACTTTGACAGATGGTGTGCTTCAGGAAAACATGGGTTAATTTGATTATTTTTTGTGAACACTTTTGTTAAAATAAAAGGAATGTTTAAAGAATATCATAGTTGTCTTCTATCTAATCAAAGCAAATTTTATGTCAATCTAGGGATCTTAAAATTATTATTTTGATTCATATTTAAACTGGTTGTTGTCTTATTAGGAAGCCACATTTGTAAGGGTAAAACATTTTAAAAAACATTTTAATTTTTCAGTTTTTCTAAAATGAAACTTCAGGCCACAAAATAACATGTCAATATGATTAAAATTTATTTATTATATATTGACGTTTTAATCTCCCACTACATAATTAATAAAAGTATTGTGTACAAATAAGTGCCAGTGTTCAGGTGGAGTACTGTGGTCCTTACAAGACTAACGACTAAAACTATCCTATTAGCTCCTGCAGCTCTTTAACTTAACCCTTAATTAAACTTGTATTCCAAGCCATTAGTTCTTACCCACAATAAAATGAAGCAAAAGCTGTTCACTCCTACCAGCACAAACCTTAACTTTAATGGTTAGTTAATGAATGGTTTATCCTGTTAGTCAAGTAGGGAATCTATGGGGCTATAGCTATCATGATATGGCTGAGCTATTTCTAAAGCTATGGTTCAGTACTGCAGGAACTGACAGGTTCTGTTTATTGAGGCTTAGCAATGCCAGACCTACATTTCTGGGATGAGGTCAGCAGAGCTGAATGAATCTCATTGCTTCTTAGGACAAAAAAAAAAAAAAAATATTTAGAATACAGTTAATGTTCTGAAAAGAAAACTAAAATCCTAAATAAGGTATCTAATAAAGTATCTCGAACATATTGACTCTGTTAGACTTGTTTCACCTATCTTAAGTCTTTCCACTACTTACTTTGGGTCTCATATCTCTGTCCGCTGTTTTACTCTCATGCAGAATAACCCCATTAATGCATCAATAATTTCATTCTAGGTCAAATGATGATGCCTGAAATAAGTTCAGAGTTGGAGAGAATGATGTCTCAGTACAGGTAGTGCAATTGACTTCAAGATGCAGGGTGGAAAATTTTGGTAAGTAATCAGTGTTTTATGTGTAACTTGAAACTGTGATTAGAATATGATAAATAAATAAAGTGTAGTAGTGAATGAGAACATGGGTATGTAATATTTCTCTAGTGGAAAAAAATGGCTTACCAAGTCCTGTCTTAGGATCCATGCTTTCCATTCCTTCCATGGTGTCCCAAGGCTGCCACAACTATGGTGATATGAACTGCTTGTAATTTCAACATCAAAAACATTTGTTTTTCTTTCTGTTGGCTATATAACCCAGTTCTTTATAGTGATTCAGTTCAAGTTGTTGTATCAGCACAAGTCACAGTACCACAACTGCTGCGCAGGAGCAGGTACAAGTGACAAAGGGCAGAAGCAACTTAATCTATCTCACCACCAAAAAATAAGTGTACTGTGCAACCAGAAAGGAAGAGCCTACTGAATTTAAACTGACCCTCAAATGAATTTTATATGCAGAAAGGTTCTTATTGCATACCTATAATTGATATAAAAATATTTTCACTAGTAGTTTGCCTGAAGTTAACCTATATTCTTCGCATACCTGTACTAATGTTGCTTTTCAGTTTTTACACTCCAACATTTCTGTCATTATCTTCACCTTCTTCAACCTCTTTTTCACTTATAGTGCCTTCACCATTTTCAGGATCATCATTGTACACATAGAATCTTCTGTTCCATCCATGGAATTTAAAATACAGTATTTCTTAAAAATACTAGCTACAAGTTTTGGACTTATCTGATCTAGTGATCTCTTAATATGATGAGGTAGTTTTGCACCACTATGTATTTTTCCTGTAGAAGCTAGAGCATGATCCCTGCCAATAGTCATTCTGAGTACGAAGACTTCAAATGGTCTTTAAAGGGCATATTCACTACTGTATAGAGAGTTTTGACGTTGTTACTCTTGATATAACCACAAGATCAATATTCATTTTCTTTGCAGAATTCTTCACAGCTGGCATTAGATGACCTCTGAATGTATCTAGGACAACCATTCTTTTTCTTAACAGCACACCTGGTCTTCTGATCCAAATGATATCCAGACAATTTTTCATTAAATTTTTAGACATCCATCCTTGGTTTTGACACCTTACAATTATTCCAGTAGGCAGCTATTCCTTCAACGTTTCTTTATGCTTCCATATCGCATATGGCAGCAATATTATGCCATCTGTTAACACTACCAACATTACTGTATCATGCATTTTTTCATCCACGAGAGCTTTGATGGCGGTAGATTTTGTACTTATTTTTTCAATATTACAATGGATGGTAGGTCAAAGTAAACCAATTGTCTTGTTTGGCTAAGCAGATAACAAAGGGGCAGACTCCTGGCAAACTGAAGTTCTTTGCCATAGGCAAAAAAAAAAAATTATGTTGTATCATCTGAATGGAACACCCCCTGCTGGTCTTGAATTCTTGCTGTGAAAAGTTTTGTACTTAAGCTAGCTCTTGATCTTTCTGTTCAGTCATTCATATATTTGGGTTTCCACCTTTTCTTTGACTATGCACAAATTATGCAAATTTGTGCTCACTCTTCATGGTAGGATCCTGTTCTGGCTCTAATTGGGCATCAATTTAGGGCATAAAAGATTCTATTTTTATTTTTTCAATATTCTCACATTTTCTTTTGCCATTATATTTCTTCTAAGCCTCACAACTCTTAATTGTTTCTGCACACGACACCACCATTAGTTGAAAATTTGCATCAAAACCTTTGCCTGTACCTTTTAGTACATTCCCTTTTGCACTCATACCTCTCATCTCCAGAGCAGTTTCCATTTTTCCATTTCACAATTCAATTATAAGATTCACAGAGATTCATAAAACTGCCAGAAATACCAGTGGGATTCTCTGAGCTACAGCAGGTTACACTGCTGCACCACTGAGGAGGTGAAGAAAGCAGCAGTAATCAGGGGCTTTCTCTATGCCACCATTTTCTAGGTACATATGGTATATATCAAGTCAAGACATCATTAGAGTCTTGATAGGATAAGGAAAAGCAAATGTGAAGATTTAAACTATTAAATACCTTTCTGTAGTCCAACTCCTGGAGGTTGAATAAAAGGTTGTTTAAATGTCTCTAGTGAAAAAAAAAAAAAAAAAAAAAAAAAAAAAAAAAAAAAAAGTAAAGTAGGCCCACCTTTGAGGTCCTTAGGATGGAAAGAAGAATCTATAAATTGCCTGGCAATAGATGACATAAATTAGAGCTTCAGCATGTGTTAAAGTCTTTAGGTAACTTCAAATAGTAATATCATAGAAGTTAACAACTGTTCTTGCTACACATCTATTTAAACCACATAACTGGAGGTAAACTAAAGATCCTGTTTCGTGTACATTCTGCAAAGTTCATTCATTTGTTTTTACTGAAAGTCAGTATAATTGCAAGATAAGGAAAAGAAGGTCGCATGTATATTTTGTGTGAGTGTCAAACAAATGGATACATGAAATATTTTGTGGTGAGACTGGAAGCTGTAACAAAAGTGAAAGGCTCTTAGCAAACCAAAGGAAGTGGTTTCCATAATGTATTTTGTTTGAGTGTAATAAGCAAATCTTTTACTTTAGACTAAAGCTGATGATTTGCCTCTCTTCAGATGTCTTTTTCAATCAGATGTGCCTCATCTGATGATTAGATTTACGGTGAGGTTTTTAGTCTCTCTTATGGTTTAGAGACTAAATCTCTCATATCTTTCACAGAGACATATATTGCACTTTAAAAGGCTATTGGCATTTGATCCATCTTTGGGACAGATGAAAGATACAATAACCTGCATATTTTCTCATTTAAATGAACAAAACACCTCAGTATCTTTCTGACCCTTGTGTACACAGAAAATTCTCATTATCCTCATTAAGAATTCAGCCTTACTGCATGAAAGATATAGCTCTGTCTCTTAGATGTTATGATACTTATTTGAATTTGAATATATTGTCTATTCTTAATACCAATACGATAGAGAGAGCCTTTGGAGATTTCTCTTTTTCTTTTGCCCTTCCAAAGAAAAAGAAGGCACAGAAAAAAGACAACAGTAAAAAGAACTTACTGGACATTAAAAACAGGATGAAGTATAAAGCACTGTCAGGTCTGCTGGTAGTTAGTTCTCTATTTATAGACTTGATGTCAGAGGTATATTCCTCTATTTTGAATAATTGTTAATAGTATAGCCATTGACAGAATGAGCTGTCAAAAAATAAAATGTTTCACTGGTTTAGAAAGACAGAGCCCAGCTTTGGTTCGTCCTTCTTAAAGCTTCTGTCTCTTTTCTTTCCTTTTTTAATTTTTTTTTTTTTAAGGTGAGAAAGTGACATCGATGGCAGCTAATACCTAATGTGTCAAGGTTGCCAAGTAACAGGCTAGAGATGTGTCAGTGAAGTCTGTTTCTATGAGAGGAATTCAGAAGGCTACAGTTTCAAGTACTCAGAAATAAACTGATCCCATCTCTCTCTCTCTTTTTTTTAATTTAAAAAAATAATTTGTGCTCTAACCAATGAAAATAAATGTAGTCAAACAAAGGATACAGTACATGCTTAAGATGCAAATCTAAAAATGGATAGTTGTGTTAATAGTTTGTGTTGCTTCTAAATCTTAAAAATAGTGGAATAATTAACATAACATACCCAGTTGCAATTTCCAGAAATAAATGTCTGATGGAAAAAATGACTTGAACATATCATCATTTCCCATGAAGTTACTTGGATTGAGGAGGTGCTATAAGCAAAGTATGAGTTTAATTGCTGAATCAATTTTAAGAGAGCAGAATTTGATTGGATAGAATAACAAGGTGTTAAGAAAAGTCCAGTAGGAATTTAGTAGGAAGAAATTCAGTCAAACCAGTATAATTCTTTTCACAGTCTGCGAACTGACTTGGTCAACAGTGGGGAAAGTTGTAGACGTGATAATGAAGCACTCCTATTTTTTATACTGACTTCACTGACTCATTACTTACCCTCAGACTGTATTGGGAGAATTTTGCAGTGGTCTGTACTGGACAAGATAGTGGTCAATATCTTCATTAATGCTCTTCATTATTGAATAAAGTGTTTCCTTATGAAATTTAATGGGAATGTTTGCGAGCACTTAGGAGGACAGGATTAGAATTCACAATGGCCTTGATAGACTGGAGAAACAGACTGAAATCAATAAGATAAAAATCAGTAAGGACTAAGGACAACTTTAAAGTATTACCTGCAGGAAACTAGATTCTCTCCCCCCAAAAAATTCCTTCAGTGCAGAATTAAAGATTTAAATCATAAAATATGACAGTAGGTCTTTCCAGATGACCATTTTTTGCTTTGCATTAATCTGTGTATCCTCTTGCTGTGAATTATGATGCACGGTCTTTCTAATTAAGGAAGTTCCAACAAAAGGCAAAGTGCCTTTGGTTGAACTCTTTGCTTAACACCCCTATCTATCTAACTGTCAAGAAAGAGATCATGTCTGGCCAATATGGCCAGGACAATTTTAGATCCATCCAAGCTTGAACTGCATGGAGAGATCTTAAATTAGATATTTCTAATGAGTGTGCCAGAGCCAACCACCTATGGTTTATGCATGAAGCAGCTAAATTAGGCAACCTGGATCTTTGCTGTGTATCTGGCCAAGAATGTGCTCTGTGTACAGAGATGACGTTCAGAGCAGTACAGGCCTAAATTTTCATGAGATTTAAATTTATTTGATGTCAAGCCACATTTGGATTTGCTGTTAGTTTTCCTAGGCTTACAAAATAAGTGGTGCTTACCATCTGAAACATACAGTAGAGTATGTATTTTGGAAGGCAGGTTACAAGCTTATTTCAATACACTGTGAGTATGCATGTCTGTCTACTGTAAAAAGTATCACCAGGGGAATAGGACAAAAAGGCAAAAGCAGAAATAATATCCACAAAACTTTAACTGAAATCTAGTAAATCCAATGCATGCTACCCTTGCTAGAGGCTGCCTACATACCTCTAACATCCTTTTTTTCTTCCTTTCCCTGGCAGTGTTCCTCATTAGCATCTTGCTAAAA